GTTTTTTTTTTTTTTAATTTCATTTGTTTGATATAGAACATCTGAATTTGAATGTCAAATAAAATTAATTTGCAGTGTTTATTTTTTCAAATATCCGTTTTCTAAATTTTCTTTGGCAAGCTCGCCATTCTTTGTTTCATCCTCTCGGACCCTGTAAACCCCCCCCCCCCCCTCCCTCCACATCCCTCCCCCCAAAGAAAAAAAACAAAAGAGGTGCTTTGTGAAAGAGACAAACTACGATGTGGACTTTTTACTAAGTTTTTAGGAAAAAAAGAAAGAAAAAAAAACAAAAAAAAACAAAGAAAACAAAAAAAAATGAAAAAAAAGAAAAAAAAGAAATCAAAGAAAAGAGGGAAAGAGGATAGCAAAAACTGCAGATGCAGGCACAAAGACCAGACTCACACGCAGTTGACAGCACACTTGGACGAGCCAAACGCTGTATGAATCAACAATCAACATCCGATATGTCAATTTGCAATCTTTATGTTTCAAAAACAATTTTGTTTTACAGACAAAGAGGATAAGCTCCCTGGATGTTTTTTTTTTCTCGTTTTTTTGGTGACATTTTATGCCTTGGACATGTTTTAGGGCCCCCTGGATGTGGTAAGGGAACCCAGTCCCCAGCAATCAAGGATGAGTACTGTCTCTGCCATCTTGCGACGGGAGACATGCTGCGGGCGGCCGTGAAGAATCAGACTCCTCTCGGGCGCAAAGCGAAAGAGGCCATGGACAATGTACTACATCCATCCATTCTCTATCCTTTGCTCTGATCTTCATACAAATTTCTTTCCTTGGTGTCTTATGTTTGGTACTGTTGGTCCCAAGTAAGATTGGCTGCTTGGTCCCTCTGGTGGTTCCAAGTTTGGTCGTTTGTTCGTCTGCTGGTCCCAAGTCAGTCTGATTGCTTGGTCCTTCTGCAGGGAGCGCACCTGATGCGCCGCAAGTATGGTTTGTTATGTTTTGTGGAGGGAATGAGAGAGAGAATTTGGGGTGCTTTTTAAAAAACACTCACACTCACCCCCCGTAATGGCCAAAGACCCTACTAATAATGGCCAGGGGAAGCAAGCCAAGTACAGCAATGGTTTGGCAGCAGGTGTGCCCCAGGCGGTGAAGAGGAATTGAACCCATGACCTCTTGAATGCCACTGGCGTGCCTAACCAACTCAGCTAGGCTGC